AGAAAACAGGTCTATTTTCTATAGTCTCAAAAAAGAATAAAACACAGAAATTCACTTAATGAAGAAGGCAAAACATTTGTACACTAAAAATGAGAAAATGCTGCTGAAATAATTTAGTGAAGATACAAATAAATAAAAATATAGGCTATAATATTGGAGCAAAATACTTAACAATCTCAAAATGTCAATGTTACCTAAAGGGATCTACAAAGTCAATGTGAACCCTATGGAAACATCCCAATATGTTTTTTGCAGAAATATCAAAATCCATCCTAAAATTTATTTGGAAACACAAGAGACATCAAATAGCCAAAACTGTTTTGAGAAGTAAGAATGAAGTTAGAGAACTCATATTTATTGATTTAAAAACTTACCACAAAACTATGGTAGTCAAAACAATTTGCTACTGACATAAAGACACACGTGGTAATTGAACAGAACAGAGAACACAGAAATAAACCCTTGAATATATGGTCAATTAATTTTTAACAAGGGTGCCCAGACTGTTCAATGAGGAATAATTAGTCTTTTCCATAAACGGTGCTGGGAAAACTGGGTCTACAGATGTTAATAAAGTTGGACCCTTTACACTATATACAAAAATTAACTCAAAAGCAATCAAGAAACAAAACTTAAGGGGTAAGGCTATAATACTCTTCGAGAAAACATTTGAGAAAATCTTCATGTTAGACTTGGCAGTGATTTCCTGGACATGACAACAAAATTACAGGTAACAAAGAAAAAAAATAGGTAAAGTGGACTTCATTTAAATTAAAAATTTTTGTGCATTAAGGAACACCATTAAAAGAGTGAAAAAGCAACACACAGGAACAAAGAAAATATTTCCAAGTCATATATCTAATAAGAGATTAGTATCCAGAACATATAAAGAACGTCTACAACTCAACAACAGGAAACAAACAAATTAAAAACCGGGCAAACAACTTGAGTAGAGGTTTCTCCAAAAATACAAGCACATGATAAGACACTCAACATCGCTAATCATAAATGTAAATCAAAGTCACAATGAAACCCCTTGATAAACATTAGGATATCTACTTTATACACAAAAGAAAGAAAAAAGAAAATAATGTGTGGAGGAGGATATGGAGATACTAGAAACCTTGTGCACTGTTAGTGAAAATATAAAATGGTGTGCCTGCTGTGGAAAACACTATGAAGTTCCTGAAAAAATTAAAAATAGAATTACTGTATTATCCAGCAATTTCACATCTGGGTATATACCCAAATAAAAAAAAAGCAGGGTCTTGAAGATATATTTGTACATTCATGTTCAAAGCAGCATTAATTATAATACTAAAACATGAAAACAACACAAAAGTTTATCAACAGAAGAATGGCTAAGCCAAACATGGTGTACAGATACAGTGGAATGTTATGCAGCCCTCCCTTCATGAAAGAAAGAAAATTCTGCCACATGCTACAACATGGATGAACCTTGAGTATATATATTATGCTCATTGAAATAAGTCATTCAGAACAGGACAAATATTGCATAATTCCCCTTGTATGAGGTATCTAATGTAGTCAAATTAATAGAGACAGAAAATAGAATGGTGGTTGTTAAGAACTAGGGAAAGAGGAAAATGGGAAGTTAATGTTTCATAAATACAGAGTTTCAGTTTGAGAAGTTGAAAAAGCTCCGGCAATGGATTGTTGTGTTGGTTGCACAACCATGTGAATGTAGCTATTGCCACAAAACTATACACTTAAAATTGATTAAAATGTTAAATTCTATGTTATATATGTATTACAATTAAAAATAAAATTAAGAAATCAATGATTAGCAACAGTACTCTAATGTGTTTGATGAGAGTATTTTCCAAGATTTCTGTAGTTTTCACTTAAATACCAGTAGGATCAAAATTCAAAATCCCATTGTTAGAAATAAGGTTAATGGGCTTCACTGACTTTTATTCAATGAAACAGGAAATTTAGATATCAGAAAACTCACAAACTAATAGAAATATCATTGCCCAGCCACTAAATATTAACATCCTTCAATGCTCTATTCAAACTTCTCTTCATTTGTACTCCGTACACTGACATGAAGAAATTTCTTTTATATCTGGAGTTTCAATTATCATTTACATGCAGATGACTCACAAATTTATGTCTTCACTTATCTCCATTTATTTCCTGTCTCAAAGTCACCTCAAATTTGATGTGCCCAAGACTAAATTAATGATCAGCAACTCGATACTTGGTCATTTTTCTATCCATCCCATTGAGTAAGCCATAAAGCCAGGTACTTCACTCCCCTTTAGATCCTATATCCTATTATGAGCTCCCACACCACTACATACTCCTTGGTACTATTTATCTCAGCACTTTCACATGCATTTCTGTATTTGATTAATATCTGTCTCTTACACTAGCATGCACATTCCAGGTGGAGAAAGACTTTATTTTTGCTCATAATCAAATTCTTAAAATACAACACAGTGTCTAGTATGTGTTAAATAAATATTATTTGAATCAATAAAATGTTAAGCTTTGTACTCATAACTAGGAAATGGTGTGATATAAGAAAAATAAAAATATAATTACTCCCCTTCCCATATATATGAAGATGAGGGTTGTTTATCTAGCAGAGTTATGGGGTTGCAGTTGGATGATCACCTTGAGATTACAGTGGCTATTGTTTTTAAGTTCTGGATGTTAGGTCAGTGTCATAGTGAATGGAGAAAAGTTCCCTTGTCCTCCTTACAGGGTGTGTGTGACAGGGGTATGGCTCGCTTCTCTGGTGGCTTGTTGCACAAAACCCCTAGGCGGAGCAAGCAGATGGGCAAGTTGGGGGGCTCAACCTCATGGCAGCATCTAGGGGTGAATGTTTACAGCTCCTGAGGCCCCAGAGAGCGCATGTTACCATATGCTCTTTTAGTTTTGGTATCTTTAGGTGGCTTGCGTTAAACAGCTCAATTAGACCCTCTGCCTTATTGCAAGGACAGAGAATTTCCTGTATCCAGAGTTCTTGCCTTTGTATACCAGAAAAACTGGATCATACATGGGCTTGGAGAATGAGCGAAAGGTTTTATTGAGTGGAAGTAGTTCTCAGCAGATGGGGGAGCCAAAGGGAGATTGAGTGGAAAGGTGGTTTTCCCCTAAAGTTGGGCCACTCAGCATCTGGGCTCCCCTCCAAACACCCCGAACAAATTCTGCATTGTTCCACCAGTCAACGGTCTGCCAGTTTTCCTATCAGTGCCTGTCAGTATGCTCTCACCCATCAACATCCTCTCAACATGAAGTGTCTTGTGGGTTCTGCTGGTGTGCTCCTCTGGACATCCAGCCACTTGTGTCTGTGCCTGCTAGGGTGTCCAGTTTTTTTTTTTTATAGGCACAGCATGGGGACATGGAAGGCCAGGGTTGTCTTGGGAAATGAACCATTTGACAAGAAAACAGAAATGCCTGTAAGAACCTACGTCCATGGGCACAGGCCTGAGCGGGTGGAGCCCTAGCCAGGGACCACACCCTTCCCCTTTCCAGCATTTCTCTGCCCGTTTCCTGTATCTATAGTCTACATTTAACTAAATTTCTTGAACATTTCTAACTTGTCTAGTGCAATGATTCCTGTACGTGCTACCTCCCATTAATACAAATTCAACTACACTGTTCAATTCCTTCATTGGAGAATATTAAATACTTGATACTCACAAATCAGAGTGGAGGTGAAGATCATGCGGATAAAGATGGCATGGTGGAGTTTATCTCAGGGCCCAACCTCCAGAGAGTCAAGTCCTGCTTTTGCTAATAGTTTTAAATGAGTTTAACACATGGATCTGTTTCCACATTTGCAAAAATAGACACAGTAGTAAAAATATCTTGGCTCTGGAGAACCAAACACCACATGTTCTCACTCGTAAGTGTGAGCTGAATGATGAGAACGCATGGACACATGGTAGAGGGTAACAAAACACACCATGACCTGTGAGGGGCGGGCAGGAATGAGTGAGGGGAGAACATCAGGAAGAGCTGCTAATGGGTGCTGGGGTTAATACCTGGGTGATCTGTGCAGGAAACCACCATGGCACATGATTACCTGTGTAACAAACCTGCACATCCTGCACGTATATCCCAGAAGTTAAAATGAAAGATGATAAATAAATTTTTTTAAAAAGTCATGGTATAAATGTGAAATTAAAAAACTAATACCTTTAATATAAATTTGTTGTGAGGCTTATGTGTGAAAATGTCTCCAAAATTATTTCTTAAACTGTAAAATGACGCAAACGTACATAATTATGCTAATGTGACTAGGGTTGGAGTAAATTCTAAAATAGCAATGTGAGTGTGGAGTAAGTGGTTTCTGGCAAAGATAATTTGTGGGTAACTACTTTTTACAGTGCATTTCTGTCTTGTTTTTGAAGTGAATAAAGGAGTGTTTGCAGCAAAGACATATTTTTAGGAGCAGCATCAGGGTTTTTTTGTTTTGTTTTGTTTTGTTTTGTTTTGTTTTAGGAGTCCCGCTCTGTCGCCAAGCTGGAGTGCAGTGATGCCATCTCAGGCTCACTGCAACCTCTGCCTCCTGGGTTCAAGCGATTTTCCTACATCAGCCTCCCTAGTAGCTGGGACTAGAGGTGTGCGCCACCATGCCTGGCTAATTTTTTGTGTTTTTTTAGTAGAGACAGGGTTTCACCATATTGGCCAGGCTTATCTTGAACTGCTGACCTCGTGATCCACCCGCCTTGGCCTCACAATGGGCTTGGATTACAGGCGTGAGTCACCGCGCCTGGTCAATTTTTTATATACTCTATTTAACCAATAAATATGGAGCCTCTACTTCTACCACGTTTCAGCTTCCCAGAAATCCCAAACTTCCTCATTGTCTTTCACTCTCCTCTGTAAGGACCTAACACTAACCAGGTGGGCAGTTGCTAAGTGCTGCCTGGTTTCCAGCAGGGGCGATTGTTATGTCATCTTATTGTGACGCAGCACCACCACGTGTGTGCCCAACTGTGACGTCTCGCACCCTCTTCAGTATATAAAGCAGGACAACACAGACCATCCCAGTTGCACCAGGCAGTCCACCACGCCTAGCATCCTGGCCCGAAGTTTCCCAAATTCGGGCAGCTTAGTGGCCCAGTAATTCCCAACTACCAGCTGAGAAGAACAGAGAAGAGGTCAAAGAGGAGCCATGTACGTCTTTTTACTTCTAGCGAGCGGCATTCTGTGTGCCTTGATGTTCGTCTTCTGGAAAAATCGCTTTCAGGTAATGGTGAATGTAAGAGAGATTTGAATTAGATGAAGGTAGATGAATATATGGACTGGGGAGTGTGTATGTAAGAGAGTAAAATATAGTAAAGTGAGAGGTAAGAGAAGATTACCTCATTCCTCTTTTTCGTTGGAAGGAGCCCCAGACTTTTACCCCTTACTCCCGCAATTCCTATATTCTGACCAGTGACTCGACAGTAGTGGTAGAATGCGTGTAACATAATGTGGATTAAAATTAAGGAAATGTATTTCTAAATTTCTCTTCTAAAAAGCCCCAGGTCCCTAAGTTATGTGGTCAGCTTTTCACTCATTGGAGAGTAATGTGCAATTGTAAGTGCCCATTCCCAACCACCATTTCCCACTTTAAGAATCTGTACCTTCTCTCTTCTCTTGCTTCTCCTCCCCCACGTGTCTGTTTGCTACTCTCACCATCTTTATTTTATGCGCACTTTCTGGGCATTCACAAATAATTAAAGTATGAATGTGGATTTCTTGATGTTAAAGTCACAAGTAAAGTGCTTTTAGGTAAGAGTCAAAGACAGGGTTTATAAATTTACCTGCTGGAGTGCTCAGGAAATGTAAGGAAAGATATGAAACGTTAACACTAAAGGCAACTTTCATATATATTTTTTCTCAGTCTGGTTTCGGAAGAATATATTTTTGAATTAATGTAGTAATTCAATATATTTTTAATTTCCACCTCTTAGGGGAAATCAGTTTATTTTGGTAACCAAAATTAGCCAAGTTGTTCTATAGTTTGGAAATTGCTTAATCCGATAAACTACATATGTATAATTCCCTTCCTTTACAGAGAAACATTGACAAAATATCAACTGCTGAAATGTCAACTGGCGAAATGTCATCAAATTCAACTGCTCTTGCATTAGTAAGACCCTCTTCTACTAGGTTAATTAACAGCAACACAGGCAACCATCATCTTTTAGTCAACAACCTCCCTCGGGATATTTTAAACACTTTCCCGCACTCCATAGCCATGCAGAAACGAATATTGGTAAACCTCAGTATGGTAGAATACAAACTGGCTGAACTGGAACATATCCTAGTTTCCAGGGGTGTAAGAGGTGCATCAGCTCACCGGAAATCCACCTAAAAGCATACAAGATGTAATGCATGTGGTGGAAATCATTAAAGACACTGAGTAGACTCATTCGATTGTGTGTTGTTACTAAATGACTTATTTTTTAAGAGAGAGGGGATGCCATGTCAGATACGAAAAATCCAGATACTTACCAAGTTTCTTACTTATACTTTAATTGATTACATATGGCTAAAATAGATTTATTGGGGAAGGAATAAAAGCACAATAGAGAAACAAAAACAGTTCAAAAGTTTCTTAACAAGAAATAAGCTACAGTAAACAGACTCTAGTTGAGATATAGTGATTTTACCTTCACTCAACTGTGAAAAACAGTTGTCATTAATGGTTTACAATACAATATCATAAATTGCCTCCAAGTTTGCATTAAAGTAAGTGGGATTTGATGGAAATGTTTTCCATTATGTAGAATGGTGTTTCTTGCCATTGTTGAACCTGGGTATAATAATAAAAACTATCATTGAGCACCCTACAATATGCCAAGCACTCTGTTAATATCTGTGCTTTACACATTTGTGAAGATAGTTACAAAAACTTTTAAGTATTCTTTGTGGTCAGCTTTTGAAAGGGATTTCTTTCCTTAACACTTTTCCCAATTATATATTCTTTCATTTAAAATGCCCAGATTGTCCCTGAATTGCAAGTCACCTATGGAAAATTGCACACCTTAAATAGTACCAAAATGTGGTTGTAGAATGCATGAAAGATAATGTGGATTAAAGTTAAGGAAAAGTATTTCTAACCTCTAGTTAGCCATCTATTTAAAATATTATTTTATAAAATCTGGTATAACTAAGAAATTAATAATCTCTTAAGGTTTACTAAGCAGCATTTGACCTGCCTTCAAAGGAAACCTTCAGAATGAGCAACTTCATCTTATACATATGTACATAACTTGCTGAGGTAATTCAATTAGAGGCCTACCTATTAACCTACTTTCATGTCCCCTCCCCTTAGATAAATTACCGGTATAAATTAAAGAAACCCATTAATTTATTACTCCTTTAATCTTTGATTACAAGAAAGAGAAAACAATTTAAAATATGTAAGAAAAATTCTTCCTTCTGTCGTCACTCACTTTCCAAGCACAAAATGTCAGCAGTAGTGCATATGGTACTTAAACTTCTTTAGGTCACAGGTTTCTTTGATATTCTGAAGAAAACCATGGACTCTATCCCTAGAAAAATGCATGTAGAAGTACACACAGAAAATATTCCATATAGTTTCAGTTCCCTGAACCCTTTTTTAAGAAACTTAAGAATTGATGAAAGTTCTCTATATATGTAGGCAGTGTTTATCATCACAGGTTGTGATGCTTAAACCAGTTGTCGTCAGTATATAATATATAAAAAATATATAAAACTCTTAGTAATATATTTAATTATCTTTTGTAAGGAAACTAGGACATAGGACTTTCTAATTTGACTTTTCTCATTCTTGACAAGTTTGACAAGTTTATCTTCTAATAGTATGTAAGCAAGTTATCACCTGTAAGTAATAACTTATTCATCTAAGACAAAATCACTCTGTCAGTCAGGTATCACAATCATGAAATGCTAGATTTGATTAAAGCCATTTTCTCATTAATATTTCAGTCCATATGCTGTTTGAAATAAAACGTGTATTTCAGAGGGTGTAATGAACAACTCTTAATTGTGTGAAACACAATAGAAATTAAATGGGTCATAGTTTTGTTCCAAATAACCCACAGAAGGAAGATTGTATATGGGAGAAGAAGTACTAAAAATTTCATTTTCTAAATTTCTTACTGGCCATGGGATCCTTATTTTTCTCTTACATCACTCTTCATAAAGCACATTAGCTGCTAAGTTCACACAGAAAACATGAACTGTAACAAATGCATGACATTTTTAAACATATTTGGATAAAAATATTAAGCTACAGTCCTCTTATAATATTCATAATACGTTTGTCCATATGTTTATCACATTTCTAATTAAGTGGGGCCTTAAGTTTTAACGATTTCTTTCAAGTGTACTTATTTATATTCCCCACAGATTTGTGGAAAAGAAAGATTGTAGATTAAGAAAATACAAGTAAATAATATTTTGAAAACTTGTGTAATGGAAAAAGTAACTTTTCTAAGTAATTAGCTCAAAAAAGCCTTCAATGTATTAGACATGATAATATTTATAAAAATATAATTATGATATAGAGACTGTTATTTGTGTCTGTTTTACAGATAGATAATCCAAAAATAAATATACTAAGCACATGACTGAGCACTATGAAATTCACATTTTTATATTGCATTCCTGATTAAATATGAAAAGAATCATACTATCATGGATATAGTATGTACATTTCCCTACTCAGTTAACATACAAATAAAAAAGTTTCCCCCATTCTTAAAAAGATCACATTTTTTTTTCAATGAGATCTCATTCTGGTTTTCTGCTGCCACTAACAGTAGGTATTTCATTGTCAGACTCTTTTTGGGGATTTGTCATGCCTTTATATCTCTCCCCACAATGTTGTTACAGATATGGACCCCAGTTAGAAGCTGCTCTGCAGCAACTTACAAGGCACCAAAATGCCAAAAAAAAAAAGAAAGAAAGAAAAGAAAACTTCTTGTGTTAGAATTTAAGTGCTATAGTCTGTAAACAAGTAAATATTGAACTGTATTTTTAATTTTTTTTCTTTACTAACAATAAGAACCATAGAAAGGTAAAAAGTACTCATCTGAATTCTTAATAATGAACAGTTTACCACGAAAAAAAATATAATCAAATGTAACTAGTTGTTAATAGAAGTATATTAACTGCTAAACAAAAATAACTGAGTATGTAAATGAATTCAAAACAAGATATGTAAACCCATTAGAGTAACAGTGTGACTACTCTGTACCTTCACTGACTTCTCAGACATTTCCATGCTGGCCTTAGGATGAGTGTGAGGTAAGGATCTAAATCAGTGTGTACCTGGGATATGTTTCAAGAACAAAGGAAAAAAATTTCCAGGATGAAACCATTGATTTGGATCCATTGTTGTAAGGACTTGCTAATTTATTTAAATCTCAGACTCCTGAACCTACTTTCTCATTTTCATACTGAGATATCATAATAAACTTTATCCGCCTAGACCTCCATGGAAGAAAGATGACTCAGGGTCTAGAGTCGGTTCCAGATATTTACCAGGCTTATTCCAGCATAAAAACACTAGTAGCATGTATATTATAACCAGATAAGGTTTCAAAAGTAGTGACTATGGATATAAAGCAAACAGGTCATTTGCTTTGTGACATCTTCAGGGACAATTCAGCACAGGTATAGATGTCATAGCTGTCATATGCTAAGCACTGTAGTAAGGCTTGAGGATACAGCAACAAGTATGACCAGACTTATTCCACAAGTAGCTTATAGTCTAGTATAGAGAAACACAGAAAATATATAAAGAATATGATAGGAAAGAACAAGTAGCATGTGTCTTTATTCTTGATATAACACCACCTCAGTGCTTACAACCTGGAACAGAACCATACAATGAGAGAGAGAGGGGGAAGAAATCTATGCGCTTAACCTACAAAATCTCTGGTGATGACAGTTATATTGTTGCTATTACATGGCATAATGGTCTATTATGTGGTAGGAAAATATAGCCTGCTAAATCCTACTTAAGTTGATCCACTTTAAACTGAGTAACTGTATAAAATGTCTATTGAAAATTCTTTCCCTTTTGACTTAGATTCTGCCTTATATCAGTTTTTGCATTTTTGGTAACAAACCTACTACATATGACTCTAACCTGATAAATAGTTGCTCTCTAATGGCTCTTAATACACCCTTGAAATGGCCTATTTTAGTTTTTATCAGACTCTTACTAGAGCAAAACTTCCTTCTGTAGCAGGCCTCTCATTATTATGAGGTCTGTTTTTAAATACTTAATTTGAACAGCTCTAACATATTGGCAGTTAGTTCATATAAAAGCTTTTAGAGATTTGAACATAAGTTCATTTCTTGATAAAGACAGTCCATAAGTTGGCAAAAGAGATTGGGAGAGACAAGTGGAAGGCTTGATATTCAGGACATTATTAAGGTTGATAGGTTGAGAGAATGATAAAAACTTAAAACCAGGACCTCCATTCTGTTATGACCTCCATGGTAGTCTATCAGCTTGACCAGAGGGGAGTCATTCATTTAGTACAAGCGGCTGGAGATTTAAACTGCCAGTATTATATATTTGGTATATAATACAAGGAAGAAATTTTATCCTTGAATTTGAGGGTGATGGGGTGGCTCAGGAAAGTGTGGCGCCAGATTTCTACATGATAATGAACTAAAAAATGTTACTTTTCAGAAGAAGATAAACACTCTTCTTTTGAGAGGGGGTTATCTCCTATGTAAAAGAAAGAACTAGCTACTGTCTCTTAAAAAACACATACAAAACAAAACAAGTCTTAGTTTTCAGTGCAACATTCAAAAAATATATATGCTGCCATCTAATAATTAAAAGGAATTTTAACTCTATTATGAAACACATTACATTTTTTAAGTTAGATAATCAGTTTCAAAAGGACTATTCGGGTTATTTGACTTTGTTTTTAAATAGCTGCTTCAGAAAAGAATGTCTTTTTTAAATTAAAATGTTTCATCACTTGTTAAAATGTATTTTGGATCTGAGTTTTGTAAAGTATTATTTTGCCTGCTGTTGTACTACCACATGCCATTGACTTTTAGTTTCTTAAAGAGAAAAAATTGCCTTTTTACTAGAAAGCCTTTGTGTATCACAATTTTTCTGTTTGGGAAAATCTAAGGATTTACTGTGGTTAGTCTTACAGAAGAAACGTGGATCTGATAAACTAGTGCCTATGATTTTAACTTATGTTTGATACACAGTAGTAAGGGCTTTATGAATGTCGATTATTTTGTGCCAACAGCCCAGATTTGTCACTTTATGTAAGCAGAAAACAATGAGCTCTGCTTCCAAAGTTATTTTATTTTCTCAGTGTTTGAATGTTGTTTTTTTAGTGTGTTAATAAAAGTATAAAGGATTGGAAAAATATAAATATTCTTAACTAAAGCATTTGCTAG